TTGGATTTCTGTTTGCCCCTCCTGAAATCTTTCTTTGCTCCTTGATCACTTTACTTTTTAAAAAATGTCTAAGAACATACACAATTTTATAAAACTTCTTTGTAGGTGTGACTATGCAGCAAAATAAATGTGAATTCATTCACTTGCTTTCATTCCCTGTAAAGTTACAAGGAATTCAGATCTGTGAGAGGCAAATGACCTCAGAAAAAAGAAGAGATAGTTTATTTTGTTTTGCTGTTTGCTTGCAGTTCAACACATAACCCTTTAGGTGGTGCCATTACAAAGAACTGCTTTACAAACAATAAAAAGGCTTTCTTCTTGAATTTCCTCAATATTTCCTTCAGTGCTACTGACTCTAGTCTCTATCACTGATTAAATCTATACTACATATTCCTCAAAATAGGGATATGTCAGGGAAAAATTCATCCTCTACCTGTATGTCTTCTTAGAAGCCTTCACTATTACACACAGTTTGCAAAACCATGAGTTTATACAAGTGTGTTCCTATCAGAAACTGCATGGAAGCAGTGGGGTGGTCCGGCCTAGGTGGGAATTCAATCTCCTCCCACTAATAGACTGCAGCCCTCAAGGTGTCTACCCAAGAACAATGTGACTCTAAGATTCCCCACTCCTAGCTCCCTACTCTTGCGCAAACAGGTACTATTCCGCTAACTGTTGTTGGATTCAACCCAATACAACTAAGATGATTAATTACAGATCCTTTTATATATGACCAGATTCCTTGTGAGTTATACATGATTCATATGAAAGAAACATTGGTTACTTGGAGGGTTAAGAGTTAAAGATTTTGTTCTTGCTTTCTAGATGAATAACTTTAAATATGTTGTACAGTATTCTGTGACTCAAGGTTCCCCCAGCCATAAAAATATATTGTTAAGGTATGATGTCTGGAATAATAGCTGAGATGCTTTATTGATATGTATTACATTGTCTTCTCAGGGTCTTTTTAAAGAAGACCAATCTAAGCTATTAAGATATTTCAAGCTACTGGCTTGCCAAACACATTTAAATTGAATAAAATAGTGACTGAGAATACATGTCTTGAGGGCAACGGAATCTCATGCATGCATGGTATCTAATTTAACTAGGAGTGATAACTGTGATAAAAAAACCACACTGAGCACTATTTTGAAGTTCATTAGATAGTATTTAACTTGCATATTAACTACACTTTGTGGACCATATAAGAGTTTAATTATCTTACACTGACAACTAAAATGGCTGTCTTTTTCTCATTAAATATTTTCTTTTCTTAACCAGTTCATAGTTTCATTCTACTCTGTTGTCTTCAAATTTCAGAGCTTTTTTCAGTTAGAAAAGGTGGGCAAAAACTTGTAAGAAGGAGAGTACATGACAGATTACTATGATTAATATTAGAATTTTGAAGTAGCTTCTGTTTGAAACAAAGGACACAAAGAACATCTTAGTAGCCTTGGAGAGAAATTGTATAAACATATTAGGCAGCATCAGGCAGAAAGTCTACTGGCAATGCTAACTTACCAAGATGCCTGAGGGCTGGATGAACTGACCCAAGGCCAGTTGAACACCTCCCAGTTTAGAATAATGGAGCTTATGTAGGATTATCCTAACAGTGGCCTGACCTTGTGCCCTATAGTGACTGAGTCCTCACTGAGAGAGGTTTGGTGCAACTCATTCCATCCCTTCTCTGCCCTCCCTTCAGCTCTTCTAACAGCTGATCTCAGCCAGCACAGCAGTTGTACCAGCAGATCATGTTTTGCCATCAGATTTGAAACCAGCCAGCACAATAGGGTGGGGAGGGGGACTGCCAGCACAGGGACAGTTGTGCAGATCTTTGAGTCCAGATTGCACTTCCCAAGTGACACTGGAGCTGGGTCCAGTAGCTCTCATAATACACGATATCAGGAAAAACTTCCTAACTGTTAGGAACTGTTAGAGAAGTATGACAGTGGAACCAGTTACCTAGGGAGTTGGTGAGTGCTCCAACACTGGAGGCATTCAAGAAAAACTTAGATAATCACCTGGCAGATATGCTTTGATTGTCTTCCTGCACTGAGCAGGGGGTTGGACTTGATGGCCTTGTAGGCCCCTTCCAACTTCATTTTAGCTTCTGTTCAGAATAGCAATTTGCTAGATGGTAAGTAAGTAAGTAAGTAAGTAAGTAAGTAAGTAAGTAAGTAAGTAAGTAAGTAAGTAAGTAAGTAAGTAAGTAAGTAAGTAAGTAAGTTAGTTAGTTAGTTAGTTAGTAAGTAAGTAAGTAAGTAAGTAAGTAAGTAAGTAAGTAAGTAAGTAAGTAAGTAAGTAAGTAAGTATACTAGGGGCGTGTGTGCATGTATGTGGTTTAGGCACACATCCATGAAAGTGTGTGAAGTTCTGATAGATTTTTTTATCTTTTTCTGATATGCATTTCAGTCCCCCACCCTCTCAAAGTTATATCATTAGTAAAATACTGAGTTAGATCTTTTGAGCCAAAGGACAGTTGCACCAGCACTTAAGTACCACCTATCCATCTTTAGAAAGGTAATTTGTACATTTGTTTCCAGGAAACAGAAATACACTAAAATAGCCCATAGAAATTTCAATCCTAGAATTTCATATACTCAACCTTCCCCACACTTCTTTTCTATTCTTGCTGTTAAATATGCTAGAAAGGAACTGAAGTCTATTTTAAATCCATAACGGAGAAGACAGCTCAACAGAGACAAGAGTGCAATAAGTGAAAGCTTATAACACTTCCCAAAATTATCAGCTACATGCTTCATTCATTAATGAACCATATAACCTTGATCACTGTGGACTCATTGCAGTCCATAGAACTGCAACAAGCTGCACAAGTAGCACACAACATCACAATATTTTTAACAGATGAACGAATGGCAACTATTCCACAAGTGCTGGTGTGTTCCATTGAAACTGGGACCAGTTTGCCTGTCTTAATTATATTTTTCATCACTCACATTCTTTATTCTCTGCTATTAGTCAGATAAAACAAGGCAACATATGAGTACTGTATAAACAAATGAAGCATAATCAAAACAATTATTTTATGTTCCTCCATAGGACAACTTATTTTAACTTCCTAATTTATAATGAAGATGGATTTCTTCTCCCTATAGTACCCTCATTTTAAGAACTCCAATAATATATAAACAGACAGATGAATTTACTGTATACCATATGCATTGCATTGATGCCATATGTGTAACATAACACACAAAAACAGGATACAGCCTGAGAATACACTCAGTTTCATTGTTCATAGCCATTCACAGGACCGTATACAAACTATGAGGCTCACTGCACTGGTACTGAAAACATATCACAAAAATAGTGATTTCACCTCATAGCTTGCATAGTTTGCTCATCAGTGTAAATGACTTTGAAGCAAAGAAGCTGCATCCTTCTGATCAGTTTGGAGTATGATGGGTGGCTGGGAAAAGCCTTTTCCCACGTGTGTTTCCCTGTCTTTTCCCCCCCCCCACAAGGTAAAAAAAGAAAGATGTAATAAAACCAAAATGAAAGCAGTGTGGCACCTTTAAGACTAGCAAACGTCTTTCATTTTGAGTGTATGTGAATTACAGACCACATCATTAGTAGCACTACAAAAGGAACTGTGCTTCTTTCATCTGTTGATATGGACTGTATTCAACTGTGCCCATCATGTTTGTCTGTGACCCAGATCTTCTGGAGGGTTGAGGGACCATCTGGAGAAGATGGAGGGGCACAGGGTGGTGAGGAGAGGAAAGGGAAGTCCTGTTGTACAGGCTGATTTTGTTGTTTAATTTCTCATATACTGGAAATAATTTACGTTTCCCCTGCTGTTGTGACAGAAGGAAAAGGATGCCCAACTGCAAAAACATGTAGCAAATCTGTAACTGCATTTGCAAGTCTGCATTTCATAACATTCAAGATATTGCAGAGAACTCCCATGTCACTTTTTCTGACTATTTGTACTTAAGGCCACATCCTTCTAGTGCTCTTAAAAAGCATACAGGAAGTATCAGAACACTATGTCCTCAGAATGACATTAATGAATCTCAGTACAGACCACTGTTAGAGGAAAGTGTTTAAACCAGGAGAGGGCAACTAAGGTGTCTGAAAATTCCACAAGTCCAAGATAGCATGGCTAAAAACAAAGGATTGAGAAGCAACCAAAGAACATCTGGAGGGCAAGTTTCCCTCTAAGTTGTCCATGTGTGACTCCGTCTCCCTCTGTGTAGCTTTCTTCCTCCTCCACATAGTGATAGCTTACAACGCCTTTGTTTCCGGTTGCGATGGAATCCTGAAAGTGGGGAGGTGAGGGTGGAATTGCAGGCCCATGCAGGGGTGAAGTTGCAAGAGAGAGAGGCAGAGGCCTCTATCTTGCAAGGTTGGTATAAAGGTCTTAAGTGCTTAACCTTGTGGATTTTTTGAAATTCCTGAAAGCACTGCTCAATCAGGGTAGACTAAAATGTTGGGAGATACTAGGCCCAAGCATAACCATATTTGATTCTTTTGGGCTCAACAAGGTAGTGTGTCTCAGTGGTTAGAAAGGGACTCCCTGAATTTGGTGAACCATCACAGTGACTCTTTAACCTTTTGCCAGGGGAAAAATAGCAGCTTCAGGAGAGGGTGATTTTTCATTGGGACAAATGCACTGGAGAAAAAGGTTAATCCCCTTTCTCTAGCAATGGCCTCTGTGTCTTTTCCACTACCCACAGATCATGTCTTGTAACATGTGGAATCAGAAAATTGAATCACAAACCTTGGTAGGAATGTAGGAAGCAGCCCTGTCAGACCGTGGTCTACCTAGTCCAGTACTGTCAAGACTGACAGTGACTCTCCACTCTTCTGGGGGACTAGAGGCACATTTGACATGCAAAGCATGCGCTCTACAACTGGGCCACAACCTTTCAATGTTCTTTTACAGTGACCCAATGGGCTTGAATATAGTCATCTCTAGGTTGGATCGTGGCCTATAGGATTTACAAAGAGAATAAAGCTTTCAACATCATTCTTACCTATCAAATGGCTTTCACATGCAGAATCAGTGACTATGTCTTCTTCGTCTTCTGGGAAATTCCCTGCTACCACTTCGACCTGTGTGGTGTAAAGAATATTAATTAAAACTGATTTCAAACATTTCTTTTGAATAGGGCAGGTCAAAAGGCATATGATTTCAGCGCACATATGTTTAACTTCTACTTGAATTATCACCCTCCACTACCCACTTTGGTACAACTTTGAAGTCATACACACTGCAAATTTAGAGTTCACCTCCTCTCCTGAATGACTCCTAAAATGGCTCTAAATGATTTAATAAAAACATGACTATGCAACTGTCAGGAAAAATTAAATCTTGGGGAGGCATAATTCCTCAAGAGGAAAGAGATTCTGTGATGATTTACTTTAATCAGAAGTACATGTCCGTGTATCTCTCTCTCTCTCTCAGAATGTTATGTCTTATTCATTTACACAAAATAACACATGAAGAAAAATCTGTACTTGATACGGTTGCTTTATGCACGGTTTCAATCATTTAATGCTGGCACATCTTCCACTTCTGTCAAAATGCAGTCCATTGGTATCCAGTCTCACCGAATCAGGAGTTTTTCCCCACCCACTGTTAGAGACTTCTTTAGGATCAGAAAAATCTTCCCCAGTGAATTTCTTCATCCTCTGAAGAAAGGTTTTAAAGTACATGCAAGGCTGCCTGAGAAATGGAGTTTTGATGAATCTGGCAGAACCAGTGGGATACAGCAGAAGCATACTATTGGATTTTGGCCATAATTGTTATTAGCTGTCTTGTGCTGGGAGGAGGGATGTCATCCATTCTTCCTCTGTCCTATTTCTCCACATATTGTAGACTCCTTAATTAGAGGCTATTTGACAGTCAAAGTTACACCAATGTAACTTAAGCAGGCATGAATATTCACTTGGATTCTGGCCAGTCTTTTCGGCTTTAACTGTATCATACTCTAATGGTATTTGTGACCAGGTGATAGGTGTGGCTATAATTCACACACATTTTAATTTCACTAAATACCATTAAGAATGTTAGTTGATGCTGCTTCTTTCCCCCCCAGTACTTTTGCCCTTATAGTTTCAAGTACTCCGGTTCCCTCAATATAATATCAAGCTAATCCTTAAACACAATATCAAAAGCTTTCCTCACAGTCCCTCTGCCCAGCTCTTACCCATGCTTACACTCCGTGTTTGTTGAGATCCGAACCCTGCCTCTCTTCACATCTAGCTATTCTCAGGCTCACTCAGTTCTTCGCTGTATTCTTTCAATCTGCCTTCCTAGATGACACCTCCCTCTTTGACTCCCTCAAAATCCCACTCCTACCTGATGCTTTCCAGCTCACTCTCACCCTTGATTTTCTAACAGTACCTCCCACTCTCGCTCTCCACCAATCATCATCCATATGTATATCTAATCTGCATTGCATCCATTCTGTTCCAGGCATTCCTTAAACACCTATTATTCTTCCCATGTACTGTGACCATATTCTCCAGCATACATCATAATACATACTGTAGACAAAACCATTATACCATGTAGGCATCATTGCAAATGCCTCTACTACTGTTGATAAGGGACGTGGTGGCGCTGCGGGCTAAACCGCAGAAGCCTGTGCTGCAGGGTCAGAAGACCAAGCAGTTGTACGATCAAATCCATGGGACGGAGTGAGCTCCCGTCGCTTGTCCCAGCTCCCGCCAACCTAGCGGTTCGCAAGCATGCAAATGCAAGTAGATAAATAGGGACCACTTCGGTGGGAAGGTATCAGCGTTCCGTGTCTAAGTCGCACTGGCCATGTGACCACAGAAGATTGTCTTCGGACAAAAACGCTGGCTCTATGGCTTGGAAACGGGGATGAGCACCACTCCCTCCCTAGAGTCGAACGCGACTGGACAAAAATTGTCAAGGGGAACCTTTACCTTTACCTACTACTGTTGACTCAGGTTCCCTTCTCCTACACACAAAGACATCTCCCATGGTTGTCTCCCAGTTGATTGCTTTATGTGGGAATACGTAGGGGAGCAATCAGTCACATCTGTCCCGTTCTTCACAGTGTGTGGTCATGCAATTGCCAACTCTGGACTTATCATTTTAGATGGTCATGTGTATTTCACCATTCTCCTGTAGAATATGTTCATACACTGTGTCACTTTTCTAAGTGAGAGACTAGACGTTCCCCCCATATTGTCACCACTTTAAAGGAACTGACTATTGGAAACAAAGTAGAGTGATCCATGCGAGCAGTGGGGGGGGGGGTAAATTTCTGGCGAAGTCCCTGTCGTGATTCTGTATCCTTCCTAAGGTGGATGTGCTCTGCTGCTGCTAATGGAATGGGATTTTAAATAATGTATATACAAGTGCCAGGCTCTAGCGCTCTGTCTTGTACAGGCTGAACAAATCCCAGAGATAAGTGTTTTAAGTAAAGATTTAACAGAACCCACAAGCTTTTTAATTAATGCACTGGAAAAAGGGGAAACATTTAATTCTGTGGCGTATAAAAGATGCACTTTTGAAAATACATCCTAAAGCAAATTAAAGATAAAAAGCATGTTTGATTTGGCTGTTGAGATGAGATGAAACACATACATTTCATTCCAGAGTTTGAAGGGCAAGTGTTGGTTACTGGTTTGACCCTCTTCTCTAAATGTGCTTTGTGTTGGGGGGTGGGCAAAAAACAAGGCATTAGCTCAGGGATTTTAAAATGGTTTGTGCTGTTTTCCTCAAAAGGCATTTTAGGGGGAAAGAAAGCACCCTGGAAAATGGTACCACATGCTAGTGTTTTCAATCACCGCTATCTCTTTTTACTGAATACTTTTATGATCTGATTCAAAGAAACCAGCAAAGGAAGAAAAAGCACTAAAAATAGGAAGCAAGATTCGGAGCTTATATATTTAAAGAGATTAGGTTGTATGACTTTAGAGGAAAAGCTGAAATTCCCTACAATCATCACTGTCATTGTTGTCATCATCAACATCATCCGTTATCATTATTATTTTTTAAAATAGATTTAAAACCACAAATTATATACATTTATTTTTGTTCATTTCAAATGGCATGAGTACGCTAATTCTTATTATTTCATTTATGGAAGGAATCTAAGAAAATCCATATTTTAAAAAACCCCACAAAAATGTAGCTCATAATGTAATCGTATCTTCAAAAATAATGGCCTAATATCACTTTGATATTCAGCTTAGCAAAGTGCAGTTTAGAGAAGGAAAAGGTAATGCTTTTCTAGCGTGACTAATTTGTCCTTAAGAAGTTGAAAGAAAAAGACAAAAATTAGCATTTCTTCATTATTTATGTATATGCAGAGCAATCTTTGCTCTTGCCTGATAAAATGAAGTGTGTTTCTTGAAGATATACTTAAAGTCCTGAATTGCTATTATTGTTACATTTGCAAAGACTTCCGAAAATGAGACAAAACCGTTTGCAAATTACTGAGACATTAGGCAATAATAAGGAAGTTTAAAAAGAAATTGTAAGAGCAGAATGCTTTTTTAAAAATACTTCTGTACCGAGAAGATATACCCTAAGCTGTCAGCACCATATTAAATGGGGCATAGTTAAATTGAGTGGCTCCGATAAGGGGCTTCGCTTCGCTATCAAAGTTCTAGATCAGTTGGATTGAATTTCCTGCATATTGCACATTTCCAAGTCTTCCATTCTCTCTCATTCCTTTCAGTGACATTACAAGGGCAGACTTAGATATGCTTATAATTTGTGGTTTTATAATGCAGGGGACATCTACATTTTCAAAGAAAAGATGATACCATAGAAGCTACAGGCCACTGGAAAAGGGAGCAGGGAAAACAGGGGGGAAAGTTTTAAAAGCATATATATATTCAGAATGAGGTTTTAAGATATTCTTAACAAATGACCTTGCATATCCTCTAACAAAGACTTCATTTACATGAAAACATAAATGTGCGCACACACTTGCTTGAAGTTGAAGGCAAGCTGTTGACACTTTTAACCTTAAGTACCTTAAACGTCAATACTGAACTAACAGATTTCTTTTCATCCTCATTGCAAAAAGATTCTAGAAGAAGTTTAAATTTAGAACGTATCCTTCAGAAGTATGTTATTCATATTTCAAACTTTCCCATACCAAACACCAGCACATACAAGAATCATTCAAAATGACAAGAAAACAGCTCAGAAGAAACCACTGAAACGTTTCACACCAGAACTTTTCAGGATGGCATATTTTCATGTGTTATAATTCTAGATATTAAGAGCCATATTATTCATCCCAGCATTTAAAAAGAAGAAGTTAGCAGCCATGGGGAAAGCCAATTTTTAATAAATAGTAACCATGATGGCTGAAGAGGTAGGGAATAAAACTCTTTCTGAATCTTTTTCCCAATGAAACTCCCATCCTGTGGCAGCTGCAGTACAATGATGATAGTAAAGAGGGAGGGAACAGGAAAAAAACATTAAAAAATAATATTGCATCTCAGGCAGGAGTTGCTTTTCTTTTCCTTTCCTGATACAATTCCCAGAATCCCCCAGCTATCACAACCAGAGGGCCACACTGACTGAGACATGTTGGAAGCTGTAGAGCTAAAAAGTTAATGTCTCCAAGCTCGGCCACTGAGCACTATGATTTCTATGCCAATTGGTTTCTTGACTGCCATCAAGCCTTCCCAGAAGAAACAGAGACCACACAAAGGGAAATCCTACTTATGTCGCATCTCACTGGACTCTACAGACAACTCACTCAAAGGTTTATTACAATAGGCATATATGGTAACAAGTCTCATATTACTTAGATGGTAACAATTACTGAGCTTTCAAGATTAAAGTCATTATGAATCCATGACATTTGAGACAAACATTGTTGTCACAACCCATTTCTCTGTTAATGATGTTCAACTTCCCTTTGTCTTGTCATGAGACTGTTGAGGTAATGGCCTCTTCAAATCATCACAGGAACATATTTGTTTTCTTTAATAATCTTCACTTATTTCGTCTGTTAAGCTGCCACCAGACTTTAGCTGGTGTCCCTACATACGTACAGTATATCTAACTATTTGTTTTGCTGCCACCAGCCTTTAGCTGCCCCTACATACGTACAGTATATCTAACTATTCACTCAGGCCTCTATAACACCCTCTATATAGCCAGTCATTAGGTACTGAACTCAGCACCACTCAATCTGAGTAGAACAAATAATGTTTTACTAAAACAAGAGTGTCAAAACAACATTTATTCCTAGGCTTTAAATTCACTCAGCAAAACCTTTCACTTTATTCTTTCTTCCTCTCCTTCAAGACTTCTCTCTCAGAATCACCCCAGACTCCAAAACCACCCTCTCTCTGATCTCCCCACACCGGACTGCTCTGTATCACGTTCAAGATGGATCTATCTCTGACAGACACACTTCCCCTGCCTATCTAGTTTCTCTCCCAGCCAATCAGAACCCTTCTTGCCAACATTCCATGCTCCTTAGTCACCTCCCACTCCATACTTACCAAAGCATATAAACAATAAATTTTAATATGACCAGGCATCATAATTATATCAGTGTGTGCCATTAAAAACACACACAAACAAGCTCCATTGCTTTCAGTCTACAGAGTTTTCTTGGATCATGTAAGCAAGAAAACCAATATATGCAGAAAGGTTGGGGCTGAAATTTTAAAAACATAAATGTTTGTAACAACTATCAGATGCCCCAAGTGTGCAAGCAGTATGTGTCACAACCTACTCCTCGTTGCATTTTGGAATGGACAAGAATCTGACTCCAGTTAAAGCTGTATAGAAATGGAGCTAACTGTTGCCATTTATACCTCAGTTTCACCTGTAAATAGCTTCCCATTAAAAAACAACAACCACAAATCCAAAGGAGGATCCATTGTTTAATCTTCTGCTGGCAAATAAATAAATCTCCAAAGTCTGGCCTTATTTGTTAAACAATGTTAAAGGATACTGTTCCATAAGCCCAAGGCCACCTCCTAAATATTTTCAAAAACGAAGAAATAAAAGCCACGTCACCTGGCCTCAAGAAAGAAAGAGAAGTGATGGAGACTAAACTAAAGAAAAGGCGAGGGAGAGAAGAGGTCCCGTTTTCTACTGACACACAGGAACAGACACAGAGGCTACTTATCAGAGAAAAGCCTACCAGAACTAAAAACCAACCTACCAAACATACCTCCCACCCTAGACTAAGGAAAACAGGTCGTTCTAGCATAGACCTGCAGAGGGCATCACTGTAAATGCCTTGCTTTCAGGTGTGGAAGACCGTATCTCTCACATTGAAGGACTGTGAAGCAGGCTTCAAATGGCATGATAGCTGATATAGGAAGAGGCAATCTCCTGGGCACACGGTTCTCAGACCATAAAACAAGTGAAAAGGTCAAGGTGAAAACTTTAAATTCAGCTTAGACATAGGGATGGATGGATCTGTCTCTCTTTCTGGTCTACGCCAGTTTTGCATTCAGAAGCCCATTTCCTCTTACTTTTATATCAACCCACAATATTTGATTTTAATATATGCACTATATTAAATGTCTCTTTTACAAAATACACATTTTGTGTGCATTTAATATTTATATTATTTCTTGGGCCAAGATTTGGGTCACAAAATTCAGAAAAGAGCAAAAATGGAAGTATCACTGTGTTATAATTTGTCTGGTGCAAATGGTTCAATCAAAAATCTGAGCCAAAAGAAATCATTAAGCATTTGTGCTTGGAATTACAGATAGTATAAATTACGAACCATACAGGTAACAGACTCATGAGCATTCATACAATTTGACTGCAAAATCAGACAATTTCTGCCACATACAAAAACATGCCTTATAGCGGTATAGAAAAGCGGTGAATAACGTACATTCAAAGTAGAATAATACCCTACAGCTTACCACAGTCTCCTTTGTTTTTTCCGTATCAGCCTTTGTTTTGCTGATTTTTTTCAGGTTTCCTTGAGTGCCAATAGACTTGCTGGGAAGAGAAGGGCTCTGGGAACTGCCCTTTGACACGCTCCTGTAGGAAACATTATTTGATCCACTTTCTGTCTGCTGGGCTGCTTTCTTATCAACTCTGCAGGTAGAAAGTGATTCCTCTGATAAATTACATTGCCCTTCTTCAATCTCTCCACTTTCCCCACTCCTTTAATGTTTAACGTAACCCTCCCTGTATCTTTCTCCCTGTGGACCTTTGAGTGATAAATGTTTCTAACTAGCCTTGATCACGTCTGTCACTTGCAATTTCAGCAACTATATTAATTTATTCTTTCACATGTAATGATTTATTTTAAATCTTCTATGGCTCTGGGGCAAATTGCAAAACACCATACGCTTACCGTTGAACACCTTCTCTGGTGTAAAGTTAAGATGGCATAAATGAAATTAATCCTGGTTAGTTGCTGTATTTGTTCATTAATAAAAGGCAGAAAAGAATCAACTTTAAAAAAACATAAAAACAAAAGAAAAGAAAACCAAGAACTACATTTTAAAGTATCAGTTGCCTCCGTTATGCATGTGCACGGGTGTATGTAATACTATGGTTCAAAATTTGGATTAGCCTTTATAAGGCTTACTGTTCTTTAATTTCAGAGACCACTGACCTGCTTAAACAAAGGCTGACTTGCTTAACAAAGAACAGACACAAATGATCAGGACTTCTACATAGTGCACTTTCTATTCAGCGGTCCCACTCCAGTTGCAGGTGGGAGTGGAAAGGGTGGGGTTTTTCAACTGATATCCACATTATAGAGTGTGCTGCTTATATAGTGCCCCATAGCAAGCACTTAAAGCCCTCTCTGGCTAGTTTACAATTTAATTATGCAAGCCATGCATTGCTTCCCCCTCCCCCAAGACGGGTACTCAGCTTATTGACCTCAAAAGATGGAAGGTTGAGTGAACCTTGAGCTGGTTACCTGAGCCTGTGGGGATTGCACTCAGGTTGTGAACTGAGTCTTGGCTACAGTACTGCAGTTTAACCACTGTGCCATGAGGCTTTTATAAAGACAATCCTGCTCATAAAATAAATTGCACTACTTCAATAAATATATATCTGCAGTCTTCACACTAGTGCAATGGCACCACTGGACACAGGTCCCGGCAACTATAAAAATGGTTGATTTTATTTAAAGTAAAATGGATGGAAAGCTCATAGTGTGGTCATTATTCCCCGGTTATTACAAGTGATATGATATATCTATTAATTTTACATTGTTTATTCTCCACTTTCCTTTTCTGAAAACTGTTGGAATTACACTGCAAAAACATCTGGAGTGCCACAATTGGCCACTCTTGCTGCAAACCATGCAGGCCTTTAAAAGACATTTAATCTATAGAGCTTACATCCCATGCTGAGCTAATGGACATTGGTACAACAGACTTTTCTTCCCTTTCCATCTGCTGCTTGCTGCCCACAGCATCACTCAGAAATGGGTTCTGGGGGAGATGCCTTTCTAGTCCTCCAGAGGTAGTTTTTCAGGGTGCATTGGGGTGTCTGCAGGGAGATGGTGACTTACTTCCCACCCCCACCCCAATTTTGATGGTGGAAGCCGTTCTGCCCTTGGAACCACCCAACTGGATCCCACAACCTAGAGAAGTATAGGGATATGGAGATAAGTCTGAGAACAAAGCATTAGGGAGCAAGTGTCTTTTTCTTTCCAACTTACAAATGCATTGTAAGATGCTTTTTAATCAGTATACAGGCATTGCAAAGTGCTTTTTAATGTCAATGGAAATTTCAAAGCAGCTTGCAGTGTGAAAAAGGATGATGTTTGGAAAGGAAGAGGGAAAGAGCCCCTTTCTACTTACACAAAGACATGTTTGACTGTAGCACATGAGGAATAAAGGAGGCTCTTTGTGATTTTTCATCCACGAGGCATTAGGAGTGCCATCAGAACAGAAAGCAATTCAGAAATCAATCTCCATCTCTTTGCATATCTTTATCAGAACCAACACTCTATAAAATCCTCACCTGTGCAAAAGTTCCTTCATAAAGCTGTCTTTTCCTGAGTTTGGAGTAGCAGAATCATTCTTTTGTTCACAGCTGTTTTGGCTGAGGCGGCTCGGTGTGGCTTTTGACATTTTCTTTCCTTTTGGAGCACTGTCTACAATACCACTGTTCAAAGTCTTTTTATTGAGCTCATTTTCTGCTTCACAGTGCTGTTCAGTTTTCTTTTTGTCTTTCCGTTTTTCAAATTTTGTTTGCTTGCTTCCAAATGCTGAAGCTTTTGATTCTTTTTTTTCTACTTTTACTTTAGAAATGTCTGTCTTTCTACCACTCAAGGCTGGGAGTTTAGTCCTCCGGAAACCAAACCAACTAGCAATGGAAGGCCCTCCACTCTTTGACTTAGTTTCTGTGGTGGTGGGTTTACTTTGCCTTTGTCCCTTCTGCATATTCTCCTGGATGCACAACATGACTTTCTCTTCTATTGTGGGTTGCAATACAGATGAGGCTGAAACCCTACCTGATGTCTTTAAACAGCCTCCTTGCGACATTGCCTTGCTTCCTTCACATTTACAAGGATACTGCAGGCTGCCTGGACTTTTCTGAGGCGGCAGAATTTGTTCTGATGAAATACTAGTTGATGACTGCAATGCCATTTCTGCTTGGGTAACACTTTTTTTGCTTACTGGTTGATATTTGGAAATTTCACTGCCTTTTTCATCATGGATGGATCGAATTTGGACATCTCTCGCAGACGGTGATTTGCAGCCCTCGTTTTTCGAAATGCCTTGAAATAAATCCCCCCTTGGTGACGTACACAATGGCTGCTTGTTTGGGCTACCGATCTGACTAGTAGAACTACTCATACTTCCACAAGAACTTTTTCTAGAACATGAGACTTCCGGACCTTTTGTGGTGTTTGGACCCAGGGCTGGTATCACTGCTGCTCCAGGAACAGCTTTAATTTGTAATCCCTCCACAGCAGAATTCTGTCTGGTTAGAGAATTCCCTCTTTCAGAAGTATTTGTTATAATCTGTGTTCGAACCTTTCCTAATCCTTCTGTAGATGGCAGAGGTGACTTTTCTCCAGTGTGAATACTAAAGCTTTGACTACGAGCCTTTGCTCCATTCATACCAAGAGCTGGCTTCAAATGTGCCTTACTACTGGAAGAAACAGATCTCTTAACTAATTTGTTTTCTAATCCATCTCGATCCACTAAACTACCAGTTTCAGATGAAACTGAGGATGCTGGATCCATATTAAATTCCTTAACAAAGCTTTCCTTCCTTCCTTTCTTAGCAGTCCTTATTTCAGTGTCTCCTACATCTATGATAGTTTCAGATAAAGCTTTACTCTGGCTCTCTGGAGTTAAATTTACACAGCCTCTGGAGGCTGCATTCATACTATCTTTTTCCTGCTTCCCTGGTATGGTGGAGCTCTTCCTGAGGAGCTGGGGAGATTTTATAAATAATTTAAGTCCTACAGGCAGATGAGGTTTCACTCCTTTGTCTGGTATGTTTCCAGTATCATTACCCTGAGATAACAACGATAATGGTGAAGGACTGATCTGAGATAGCAAAGGCACCCCAGGGATTGTTATAGGACAATCTGTTGATGTGGCAAAACTATTGGGGAATGTCTTTTTCTGAGTTACTTCAGTGTCCTCTGATGAGGATCCTCTCTGCACTGAATTCACATCTTGCAACATGCAAGCTGTTAGGACATCCTTCGAATGACCAAGTTCTCTGTTACTGCAAGAAGATACTGACTGGTTTGAGGGTTTTGGAGAAATTTTCTTTATAAAACATTTAGGAGTGCCTTGACAAGTGCTAGGAGTTGGCTCTGGTGTGCATTTGCTTTGTGTAAACATCTCTCCCTTCTCATGACAATGATTTAATTCACTTTTAGGTGTCAGAGGGAGTTTGCTGGTTTGCATTTCTTGCATACTAATTTTATGAGAAGCAGACCCTGAAGTTCGTTTCAATGGCGACAACTGAACTGCATTTTTCACTGGCTCACTGGGAAAACCAGACCCTGTTTTATTAGATACAGGTGGTGAATATTCATAACTTGGTCCCATCAATAGTGAAGCCAATCTCCCTGGAGGAGGAGGTGGGGATGGAGGTCTGGCTTCGACAGAAGACAAATCACAATTGACATCTCTAGTTGGTGGCTCTTCACAGTCACCGGATTCTATAAGATGCTGAGACAAAGAAGTTGATTCCACAAGCTGGTTCTTAGGCCAATCTACTCTCCCCACAATTTTAGAATTTGGTGGAGTATGGACAAAGGCCCTTTTGTTATGCAAGTCTATATTCAATTCAGAATTCCAAGTTGGACTTTGCAACCTTTTAAATCTTGAGGATTTTACAGTTGATACAGGCAGCTTCTCTGATGTCACAGCAGAACATGAAAACAATGTGCTGGAATCTTCACTTATTGTGACTTTCAGATTATGTGGCAAGAACTTACCTCTGCTGGGAATTTTAGTCAACTTGTGTTTCTGATTACTACCTGCCAGCATACAAGATGCAGGACTGGGCTTGGAAGAAGTATTGCAAACGGACTTCATCAGCTTTTGATGTGGAGTATGCTGAAGCCTGGGTCTTTCAAGGTGGGCAGGACATTCATTTCTGTATGGGGTAGGGACTTCATGCTCATCACTAGGATTATTTCGGACAGTCTCCTGATCAGTCTCATTATGAGGTGTTTGCAAAATACCGTAGTCTTTATCATCAGTTGCTTTCTGCAACTTTGCTTTTCCCTGAGGTAAACATTCAGAATATTCCACACTCGGCCCAGCATACGAATGGGTAACTGCAATTTCATCTCTAGTTAGAGTGACAACTCCAGTTTGATGAGAACTGAATTCAATAGGCTTGCCATCTTCAGCATCAAATATTACAGCAATGCATTCTTCAGAAGAGGTCTTCTTTATAACCTTTTGCTGCTTAACAAAATTATATGCCTTTGGCCTAAAGTCTGAGTGAGAAAGTCCCTGGTCTGCTTCTTTTTCAGAGCATACAAACTGGAAATGTTCCTTCTTTATACATACTTCAGAGCTCTCTGCATGCTTATTAACAAAGGGTGTTAATGACAAATCTGATGGGCTTTTCTCGTCACTGCTTTCTATATGTAATTCATCCAGGATTTCATTGTCATCGGTATCTGAGAGGTGCAAATTAAGGTCTCTCCAGCTTACATCAGCAAGACTTTTATCTATCTGTAACCCAGGCAGCTCCATATTGGCACATGATTTTGCCTGTGAATTAAATTCATTGACAAAACTAGACAGTTTTTCAGGCCTTTCTTTTGCATTAAAATAAGAACCTCTTCCCAGCAAATGTCTCCTATCAGGTTCCCAACCAAATAGACTGTCAGAAACACTGTGAGTTAATTTATTACAGCAGTATCTACAGTCTTTGCCTGGGACTTCATACAGCAAAGCTAAAGATGAGGACTCATCATCAGCATCTTCATGTGAATCAGAATCGTACATGAAGGCTTTCTGATGCTCAATGCAAATAGCCCCTATTTCCTCTGACGTGCAATCTGCCTGTTCTTTATGACTGCTGCACTTAATTCCAGGGGAGTAAATTCCTTCATTAGAATCCATGCAATCTTTGTATCCCCATTTGGATAGAACAGAAGCTGGTTCAAGTAATATTTTTTGCCTCTGTAGTTTCTTTAGCCCTTCCAAAATGTGGTTTTCCTTGATACGAGTTGGAGGTAGTTCATCCACAGGACTAGAAAGGTTGCCAGAGAGTGAAGAACCAATGTTTATTCTGTTCTCCCAGTTGATTGATGACTGTTTATAAAGAAAGAACAATACAATTAATTATTACTACAGAATAAACATTAATGAGAAAAATATATAACCCTGTTAGCCTACTGATGAAAAGGTACATACTTTCCTCTACCTTCATCCACTGACCACTGTTTTCTATATTTACTTTGTTTCTCAATCTATACACATTTGAACATAGATACACCTAAACCCACCCACCTTACCCACCCGTACTGTAGGATATGACAATCCTTGAAATGCATTAAAGGCATCAAACTTTGCTCTCCCCTCTCTCATAGTGGCCAGAATCCTAACTAGCGTTTGCGTACCATTTGTGTAACTTGCCACAGCTAAGTGCAGCTAATCAAAGAGCTGCCGGGGTGCATCTCAGTTGCATAATTGATCATGTGGCCAGGCACACAATCTAGACACACCTCAACACCTCATCAAATAGCTACATTTAGCTATGGCAAAGTACACCAATACCAAGAGAATTATGGCCAGTGTCTGTGTCCATACCAGGTAGCAGACACAAACACTGGAAAAATTATATCCTACTCAATCAATATGTTGTCTAATAAATCTATTTGGTAACCAAAAGAAACCAATGTGCTTACCCTTACCCTTTTATTGCATGTCTTCCCATCGTTCCAAGTATAAGAAGAACCACTCGAATATTCACTGCAGGCACTTGACAGGGAAAGTTCACTGCTACTGCAGCTGCTTCGATGATAAACTCGGTGAGGTCCAGTCACATTTAACGGACTTGGGCATTTTAAGGAAGGAACACCAGATTTCATATTTTGTAGACATTCCTAAAACAAGAAAGGGTATAATACACTTTTTATGTGTTTAAAAAAGATGTATAGTATCTATTACGTGAGATGACAAATCAACAAACCACATTTTGCTGCTCATGCTGAAACAAACACAACACAATAATTGAGTAACTGTTAAAACCACAGCGCCCATATTTCTTTTCCATTGTGAGATTAAAATATCCAAACACTTGCCAATTATTTATTTATTTAAGAATAAAATATGCAGGCCGCAGTGTCCAAGCTGGCCTTTTAATGACAGTCTGTCTGAAATGTGCTGTGTTTATTAGCAATGTGCTCCAGAAAGATACTGAAAACAAAGTTAAGACAGTACAAGAACATCTTGACAACTGCATTATATCCTCACAATGTAACAGATGAGGCCCTACAAAATGGACAAGGTAAATTAATTTAGTGTCCCAACCAGGCTGTCCATGGAGAATGGAATCTCTCCATTACAGTCTAATTTTGGTTTCCTATCTGGTTCAAAGCATTGTGTAAGAAAGTCTCCGATGCAGGACAATCCATCTTTGTGTCACCGTCCGACAGCTCAAGCCTCCTGCTTATGCCATTTATTGACACTTTATGGCTGCCCTTAGTACTTGTGTAGTTATCGGGGCTCTCCAAATGCAGTCTCTGCTGCAGTGACTAAATGCCAGCTCCGAGGAAGAGAATAATGAAGAAAAAAGGGCAGTGCTTTTGTTAAAACCTGAAACCTTTGCAGAAGTTTGCAGGTGTTTAATTACTTTCCTCAAAAAATATACTGCTTCCTAATAAAACGAGGCATCACTGAACTTTCATGAATGCGGTGTTATGAAGTATTTTATCTGTTACACAGAATCAGATACGTATATGTTATCAAAGAGATTACAAGATTACTTGTAGCAACAAGATTACTTTTCCTTGACAGTTTGCAGTAAATTCCATCATTCTCAAAATCGGGGTTGGTGGGTCCCCCCTCCACAACAGCAACCACTGAGAATGGTAGAGGTTAATGTATTTACTTCTCTATGCCATGAAAGGTAAGAACAAAGAACCTCAAATTAAGCCAATGTTCACATGGAGTTTCTGTGCAAACAGGTTCTCTCTCCTTCTTAAAAGCGGAGGGAGAAACACCAAAAGCAAATGAGAAAACAAAAACAAAAAGAAGAAAAATCTTCCCTTGGAGGGATCATCCTGGGTGGATGTTGTGGGTCCTGAAAAACCAAATGAACCTGCACTTCTCATTCTCAAATATGTGGTGGAAATACTTGGCATGAGTTTAAATCCCTGTAGGTATCTATGGAGAATGGTGGTGTACAAGAAATTGTCAGGGATGAAAGCACTATATGCAATCTACTTACTGATGCTAGGAAATGCACTGGGCAACGCCACTCAAGGTGTATAATGCTTAGGAAACACTCATTCAAGCCAATTATACACTATAAAGTCAATGGTTTTTCTGTTGTCAATGGTTTGACAATGGTTGAAGGCAGTGCATATAAATAAAACCAAAATAAATCCAGTGTCAAATAAAAATCAAGCCTATGAAGAAAGAGGAAGAAACCACAAATGAGATGACACCATGAAAAAAGTCCCCTCTTGTGGATGATGACTTGAGGGCCATCTATATCCCTCCAGAGAGCTTGAACTAGAATTTGGATGCTTCACTCTCTCTAGAGGGAAATGAAATATTTCTTACCCATGTGCCACCACTTTGGATGTGACCCATTGGTAATAGTTAACAACATGCAGTGGGTATAAAATGAATGTTCTTAGGACTACAACACCAGGTTCTACATGGCTAAATAAGCAGTTGCTTTACAGAGATGTACTGCTTTCCTGCCTGCAATCTATACAAGCCAGTCCAGTAAAAATATGTGGCAGAGAAGCTTTAATTGGAGCAGCATAGGATGAGTGAATAATTATTTTGGAAAAGGTGTTAAACAAATGGAATGAACCTTCCCTCTTTTAGATGCCATTTGTCTATGAGAGGGCAAGCAGACAGGAAAGTGATTTTGACAGGAAGCTGAAGCATAGGGCATTTACAACAGTAACTTGAATGCTCCAACACACTTAAGATGATATGGTACCTACAACTGACCCCATGTTGGTAAAATGATATAGTGTCTGAATTAGGAATCGCCGAGACTTGGGTCTACTTCTTGCTAATCGGGTGCACTTGTTCCCAACCAGTGCCATTTCTGGGTAAGAGAAAGAAGTAATTGAAAGACTAAAGGCACCTTTGTGCCAAAATATTCCCTGTACACAGAACTTGAGAAACTTTTCTGCCTGACTGCGATGTGTGTGCATGTTTGGCCTAGATCAGGCGAAGAACCAGAGAGAGTTAGGACACAAAGATGGAGACCAACAGAACCAGAGGAACTATGGGACTTTGTATTTCTACCTAGAAGCCCTCATTGTGAGTGATCCGACTTTTGAACTGTTAACATTCTGAACTAAATTGACAAAAAAAATCTGCCGCTGGGAGTAGAGTCAAGGGGATTAAGAAGACCCTGGTACGAGGATCCTCCTGAACAAAGCAGATTCCACACCTGTCCACTAAGTGATGGAAGACATATTAAGCATTCCACACTTCACAATAGGTGATAAGGACCATATATCTAAAGATATGCCCTGTGAGCAACCTGAAACAAAGGAATGTCTTCTGTGCATGCTCTACTAAAAAAACCTGCCTAAATAGAATATAAGAAGAGGGGTCTGGAAAAACATTAGTCTGTCTGTTAGTCTGTCTGCCTGTCTGCTGAGACCAAAGGGCTTTTGGAACTAATTACTTTCTTTGGAACTTGGACAATCCAAATAAAAAATTCGTCTCTCTCTTTGGTGAGTATGTGTGTGGTGTGAATGTGCTGAATGCATGAAGCCCCTTTATTTAGAATTGTAATCAATAGGTAATAAAGTATATTTATTTTTGCATTTATTAATGTGTCTTGTGAGGTTCTTTGCTAGTTAATGTTGTTTTTCCTGGGATACAAAAGAACCAGTAGTCACCCTTTTGTGACATGACCTCCTGTTTTCTGTGTGGGTAGACTTATTTAGATGTGCAGAGAAGAAGCACTTAGTCTTATGAGCCTCACCTGCAGCATAACATAGGACAAGCTATAGGCTAGGTTTAACACCCTACTGACAAGGGTGGATACAACCTGAAATAGTTTTGCCTTATTGTTGCAGCTAGCATAGAATTACACTGTTCAAAATTCAGTTGGATTTCCATCGCCACCTAATAATCACATGCCTGGTCTAAAATTAATGCTTTGTTTTTGTTTCGTTTTTGTTTCTTGTTTTACAGAAGCTCTTATCTCTGTGCATTGGCATTGACTCATTGATTGACTGACTGTCTGACTGATTGCTGAGGAGTCAAATATTTCCCCATTTTCAAATAAGTTCATGCTGTAGATGACCTAGACTGTCTTTTTGTGTAGAGGCCTTGTTCACACTCAAACTGAGATTGCACTCCTGCACACACATAGCAGGAATACAGCTTAACCAAACCAAGAGGACCTGGGATCTGGATATTTGCAGGCGTGCCTCTGCCTATATACAGTGGTGCCCCGCTTGATGACAATAATCCATTCCAGGAAAATCGCTGTTAAGCGAAATTGTCGTCAAGCGGAAAAAAACCCATTGGAATGCATTGAAAACCAGTCAATGCGTTCCAGTGAGGAAATACCTCATCGTCCAGTGAAGACTGCCCATAGAGAACCGCCGTTAAGCTGTTAAAAAATTGCTGTCTTCCGAAGCAGGGGTCTGGAAAGCAGCCATTTTGCAAAGGGAGGGAAGCCATTTTGCGGAGGGAAGCCATTTTGCGGAGAGAAGCCATTTTGCGGAACCGGAAAAATCATCGCATAGCGAACAAACGGTTCGCAAAGCAGGCTCCTAATCAACGTAATGCGGATTTCCCCCATTGGAACCATCATTTTGCAATCACAATAGCGATCACAAAAATGTCATCATTAAGCGATTTTGACATCACGCGGAGTAAGCGTCTATAGGGTCACCACTGTAAACCTGTCTGATCGCTAAGATCTGCTGCAGGGGACACTCCTCCATATCTCATCATCAAAAGCAGTTTATGTGGAGACACAGATGAGGGCTTTCATTTCAACACTGTCAAGACATACTTGTGGGTTGAGGACTGAGGCCTATACAGGTTTTAAAACTGTTAAAATTGTTTTATATAGCTCTATAACTGCCCTGAGATCCTGTGATATAGGGCAGACAATAAATGTTTTAAGTAAGTAGATATGTCTAAATAGACATGCATAAGATTGAAGTCTAGGAAAGTGAAGGTTTATATACTCTGTTTCCAGTATTCTGAACTCTCTGAGGAGCCTAAGTGCTTATGTTGTCTACTTACTTCCAGCATACAGTGGGGTCTCGACTTACGAATGGCTCGACATACGAACGTTTCGACTTACGAACCGCTCTCATAGGAATATATGGACTCGGCTTAGGAACTTAGATTCAAGTTACGAACTCTTTTTTTCCTTTTTTTTAAAGCTAAGTCATCTTAGGTTAAAAGGAAAAAAGGAAAAAAAATATCCCCGTCTAGTGGCAGAAGGCGGAATAGCAGCTTCCCATTAGTTTCTATGGACGAAAAGAGCAGATACGGATTAAATGGTTTTCAATGCATTCCTATGGGAAATGCAGATTTGACCTGAGAACTTTTTGACTTGAGAACTGCCTTCCAATACGGATTAAGTTCGTAAGTCGAGACCCCACTGTACCAGTTTTATAGAACCCTGAGTATGTTTTGGAATGAATTTGACACAATGCAAGCTGGCTGGATAGCTCAGCGGTTTAGGTATCTGGCTGCAGAGCCAGAGACTGCAAGTTTAGTTTCCCACTTTGCCTCCTTTGTATCTCCAGAAGAAGGGAATGGTAAACCACTTGTCTACATGGAGTACTCTCTACCTGGAAAAGGGATTGCACAAGTCACAATTGACTTGACAGCATGTGAGGATGAAAATGATTAAGGCAATCATAGAACAAACGCATTTTAAAAGCATAATAACACCAACACATTGGTTTTTATTATGTTTATGGCACAGAAACAACCTCAGTGTCTTTCACTGCAGGTTATGTGAACCATGTGCCCTCTGGAAGCTGGTTTTGTCTTGCCTCCTGAGACAAAAGTACTGAAAAAAAAAAAGAGAGAAATGAGAGTTGGGCCTCCAGGGACCATACATGCCCCCACAGTTTGTTTCAGAAGGTGTGTTTTTTTATTTTGTTTTTGTTTTTTTGTTTTTAATCTAGAAATTATCAGAAACAGTTTTTGAAACTGGAAACCATTTCAGGTCACTCAGCATTTCTTTTACAGGGGCGAATGCAGATGGTCAAATGATCACAGATGCCCTCCCCTAGTAGACATTGACCATGGTGTTCCCTTTTATGGATTTCCCACCAACCTTCAATCATGGCATCCTTCTTGTTCGCCTTATTGGAGATAGTCTGTGAAGCTTGCTTAGTAAGCAGGTACCCATGCTGGACTATTTTTGTTCTGTCTTGTGCCCATCTTTAGCTCATAAGATACTACAAGGTTCTCTTTTGTTCCTCATATTTTAACCTCTTTATAAAGTTGCTGGGGAAAGTCATCTGGAAACATGGAATAAATTGTCATGCTGTCTTTCATCTAGCTGTCCTTTTAATTTATTTTATTTTTATTTGTTTTGTCCATTTTAAATATTAATGTTTTCTGTTGCATCAAATTGTTATATTTGTTTCTATCATACTTGCTTTATTGCTAAACTGCTTGGGGGAAATGTCTTATATATTTGAGCAAGAAATACATTAGTAGATTAAATTAATTAATTATAAACATTTTTTTTCAAACCATTGTGAGGTGCTGAGATTCAATCCCAAATAGACGAGTGAGGAAAGAAAGAAAGAAACATTTAATCCAAAGGTGAATGAATATGTTTAAATGAGAATGTTAAAATGATATATTCATATTTTCAGTATGTACTGCATGGAGAAACAGCCATCTTTGTATGACTACCACATCTTCTGCCAGTAGGGGGAAAATTCAATAACTTTTGAATACAAATAGAAGGCTAGCCAGCTTCTGCTATTTCAGAAAAGAAGAGATTAATGAATGACTATGCAACAGAAAATTGCATGCAAGCATTAAAGACAAGTGAGTAACAGTGGAATAATTTTCCATGCATCAGTGGGACCTCTTCCTGAACTGGTGATTTTTAAATGCCATTAGTAGCATTTTACTGAGGCTGAATTTTTCTCCTAACAACATTCTAATGGTTTCCTTAAATTTCTTTTAAAAGATCTCGAAGATTGCCCTGGCGGTGCATTAATTACATACATTTAAACTGTTCATTGGTTTATTAATTTGCATTCCATGACTGGATTATTTCTGCTTTCTAATCATAAGTTTTAAACTATCATCTTTAATAAAATAAGAATAGAAAAGCCTACTCAGGATTATAATTTAAGGACATAATTGTTAAGTAAGTTGGGAAGACAATTGTTTGAATCAAGCTATTGCTGAGGGAAAGCAAGGTAGGTAGAAAAATCTAACCTGAAGACTAAATTACAGGCTGCAGGATTGGCGTTAGCATCCTTCTGAACCATAGAAACAGTAGCACCTCATGGTATAATTTACCATACTGTGTCAAATTACTTTTTTTTTTAAATTTTATACTTAAACATAAAAGCTGTTTTCAGTTTTCATTTGCTTTCTTTTTCTCTTTATGCAACTTTTGTTTTTTCGAGTTACATTTTGTTTCTTTCAGTGAAACATGAAAGCCATCTTAGTTAAAATTTTGCGAAATAAGCACAAAGCTGAGCCCATCTGAAAAGGGGGAAAAAATAAATGCACAGCCCATGAATTTTTAAAAGTTCATACATAATATATCATAAAACTAGGATGAATAATACGGTGTACCAGCTTTAATAAAAAGCTCCTTGACCATTTCTCAGAAACTCTGAGATGTAATCAATATCCAAAAAAGTATCTTGGGGACACTGCCAGGATTTATGTCTTTTCGCAAAGAGTGGCACTTTTTTACTTTCTATATCAGCCAGGGAAATGATAGTGGACTTCAGAAAAGAGAAGAAAATGGTGTTCTCTCTCCTTCCACTGTGTTCTTGTTCAAGGATGAGCTTTATTGGTTCTCAGCTCTCCTGCCCCTCCCACTAAGTCATAGTTTACTGACAGAAAGGATGTGCTATTTGAAGAAATCAAATTCAAGAAAACTCACATGAACCTGAACATCAGCACTTCGTGATTGTATCAAACTTCTGTTCTTCTCTACCTCTGAAAGGAAATCCCCAGACGACAGATCTAAGATGCGTGAATGAAGTTTCTGAGGGAAAATAACGGAATGACCAAAGCATAACCATTTGACAAGTACGCATAAGATCAGCACTTTTGAAAATCCCAACTGCTGCAGTTAAATTTCAAGTGGGAAAAAAGAACCCTAAGGTAAAAGAGCTTTGCCCTAATTTCTCTGCTTATTGAGCTGAGGGCTTTACAGTACAAAGCAGAGTTGATTATTCATGCAAAAAGTAAGGGCATTTCCCCCCCTAGCTTGCAATGCTGATCAGTCACCACAGCTTTACAACTTCATAGGAGTCAAAATGCATTTGTCTATATACAAAATTACTGATGACCAGTACTATAAACAATATTATATATTAAACGTTTACCAAGTATTCAACAGGTTTATTTTATTGAGTAGTTTCTACAGCTCAGGTAAATGATTACAAAAGTTATTCTACTTCTAAACAGCATTGATCTTTCAAAGCCCTCCCATGCACACATTTTAACTCAAAGTCATTAATGTCATCTGTTAGGAACAATTAATGTGAATGCAAAATAATTGCATCAGGGAGGCAGGGACTCCGAGGATTTTCTGCATTAATATTCACCTGCTGTTCGATTACATACTCAATTCTTTCAGTTTTGCTTGGAAGGAGTGCTAAACTGGTGCTATTTTCTCCAAATTAATCTGTATTCTAATTACACAGGTTTTATGTGAACGTTAAGCCTGATCTGTTTTAATTGCAAATACAATATGTTTTGCAATATATGTAAACATGGATCTTTGATGGATAGCTCCATAAGATTCTAACCCTTGGCAATATACATATACATTCTAACAGGTCCTTAGGTCAGGTCGGCAAGTGCCCTGTAATTAGGGCAGTATTTAAAAATGTGCAAAAAATTCTGCATGAAGAAAGAAATCCAAAGTGTGTTACCTGCGGCAATATACAAAATAAACAAATTTGCATACTGCTAATTTGCATAAGACATTCTTTCTTAGTCGCTATTTATTTATTTATATAAAATGAGAAACAAGTAATGAATAAAAGACTCTCATTCTCTAGCCACTGGAAGTGTTACTCAGCCACACCTCATCTTCCTCAATTTCAAGCAATTCCCATACACATTGAAGCCTGTATTTGATAGGAATGTGTGCTCTTTAAAATGTAAACAAATATTCAGGATGATGCACTTGCTTCCCCTGCCATCATATTCTGCATTTACCCCTAAAGTTGTATGTATTTATTCTGTCCTTAATATACATTTTCTTGAGACAACTGTATTTGCATCTTACCAAAACCACAAGGAATAAAAACCTAGTTTAAACACCAGGCATGTGGTTTGTTGAGACTAGCGATTTGCCAAGGAGCAACCATTTTAGCAGCTTTGCCAGAAACAATATCTTTTCTCCAAATCTGGTGGGACAAGCCAATCAGAGCCTTAAGGAATCATACCCAGTGCCCCCATAAGAATAGGGAGCATAACATGGGCTACAGATGCATTGCCTGATAAGCTTAGGCACCTTTACATGACATCTGTAATACAATCTGACATGCAAAGCATAATGCAATGTCAAGGTGCTGCAGTGAGGTAGTTGCATTGTGTGGCATAGCCATTGTTCCCTCGCAGAAAAAGCAGATAGGAAGATCCAAAATGTAACCATTAGCTTTGCTGTTGACCTGTTCTTTCACATTTTTCATGCAAAATATTTGTAAAGATGCTATTCCTCACTTTTCATAGTCTATATAGGTAGCTACTAACTCACTTCAGTTTAAGGTCAAAGTATAGTTCAGACATGGGCACTTATGAATATAGGGCTCACTTCACAGACATTTTATACCTATCTAGTTTCTATTATGCATTTTCTCTCAACTCCCAATAACCTGTGAAATGCGGAGAGATATAACAAGCTTTCCCATTTACTTTTTGTACATTTAACTGGCATCAATATTATTAATATGATTCTCCCCATGTGTGGTTCACACATCAGCAAAATGGAGGTCTTATGTCTCCTCTGTTTGCCGAATCTTTGAGCAGGTGTACAAGAGACATCAGATTATCCAGCATAAATATGTGCTGTTGGAGGAAAGGAACCGGAGTATTAAATACTGTAAAGATCAGGGTCGGACTGAAAGTTTTTGTCAAAAGGGTCTCCAAAGGCTGTGAAGCCTGAGGCAACAAAGCCAGGGCCTTAAAGATGGAGCCAGAGCCTACCAAAGCTGTAAGGTAGGAATGGGTAAATGGTGGCTCCTATGCCATTTTTGTGACTCCTAGGTCCACAGAGACCATAAGATGCCCCCTCTGGGAAGAATACAGTTTTCTGAAACATAAATAGGCATTCATTCATTCATTGCTCCTAGAGTTTTTGTACTGGAGAGCTCAGGCCCTGGAAGGTCCCCCATCCCCCCGCATGGCGAATGTCACAGAGTTATTGCCAAGAAGCATGATTTCGCCAAAAGTAAAAAATACAGCTGGATGTTTTTACTGTTTTGGAGCTTTAAGGCATATGGAATTGTCCAATGAAATTGTCCATAAAAAGGTAAAAGTAAAGGTTCCCCTTGACAATTTTTGTCCAGTCGTGTCCGACTCTAGGGGACGGTGCTCATCTCCGTTTCCGACCCATAGAGCTAGCATTTGTCCGCAGACAATCCTCCGTGCTCACGTAGCCAGCGTGACTAGACACGGAAGGCCGTTTACCTTCCCACCGAGTTGGTACCTATTTATCTACTCGCATTTTTGCATTTTGCATGCTTCCGAACCGCTAGGTTGGCAGGAGCTGGGACAAGCGATGGGGGCTCACTCTGTCACATGGATTCGATCTTATGACTGCAGGTCTTCTGACCTTGCAGCACAGAGGCTTCAGTGGTTTAACCCGCAGCGCCACCACATTCCTCTGAAATTGTCCATAGGCTGTTGTAAAAAGATGCTAAAGCAAAGATATATTTTCAGGGGAGCCTCTCTGAAAGAATCTTCAGCAACTGAAATGTATGTTATATGAAGACTGTGCACCAGGACTGTGCATAAGGACTGCAATGGATAACTGGGCATCACCAGGGGGAAGAAAAAATGACTAGTGAAACCAGGGAACAGCCTGGTTCATAACAAAATCACTTGCTACTCTTGTGTACAAGATCTGGAAAACTAGGTGACAGACCATAGAAAGAGCACGGCTGAAACAGCATATCCATTTTCTTGTGAAAACAGAGATGAAGGTAGAGACACGGTAATGCTCCTGGTATACTGCACTGGAGAAAGCAGCCCAGCCTTACAGCTTATGAGCAAAGAAAGTTAATAGGTACACTGTGTGCTTGGCTAGTGCTCACAAAAACAGACCAGCCTTTTTTACACTTTGCTGGATAACTCCAAAGACTGCAAGTGACAAGAGCCCCTGAGCAACCTTCATTCGACTTTCATCCAGCAGAATATCAGCATCCAGGATCCAACCACTTGAAAATGTTTCCTCAAATGTTCTTTGGTGGTGCTTAAACATAGCAGCTTACATACCACTATGGCAGCAATCTATGAGGTTCCTGATATCCTATTTCCCCCCTCCCAAAATGATCAGCTTCCAAAGGAGAAAGACACCCAAATGAGTGGGTTTCTCCACAGGTAGAACTGGTTCTCCTCTTCAGCTCATGCACAGAGATAGGACAGATGGAAGAGTCACTGTCTCACTTCCTCTGCTCACACTTTCATACTCGTGCTGTCCTGAATGCCCAAGTGGGATTAAAGGGTGGGAAACAACAAATAATTTTTTTTAAAAAAATCCTACCTTGGTCAATCCATAAGAGAGAGGGAAAGAGTGTGGAATACTACATGGAAAGTGAAGGCATAATTTAAAACTTGCTATTCTTTTATTGTCTGAATATAAGAATTTTCACAGTCTACAACAGAGTAGTTTCACCAGTTCCACACACCCAGAGGGCTTCAATGGCTCTGTTCTCCAGAGTCCTAGTCCATCACTCTGTCTATCACACCACACTAGGAATCCCTACAGTGTATACTGAACTACAAATATATGTCCTCTAAATATTCAACAGGTGTTGACCCATATATACGATCATTTAACAGCATATTCTACCAGTTTTCATATTATCTGTACCTGATGTGTGGCAAAACAACATTAACTCTAATTATGGTTAGGTGACCAAAGTAACATAAAATTCACTTTGGATACTCTGGTTCTTATGGATAGATAACTTTCAATATACTGTAGTTCATAAGCAAAATGGGAATCCAGGTGCTTTCCTTTTTTTTTTTAATAAAGCTTAGCACATAAGGTATCTGAAAGGAAAAGTTCTCACTTCAACACAGAAGCCAGAGAACTGAGTTTGCCCAAATGCACATGAGAGTCATTACTCTTCCTAATATTTCTGTTGTCTACCTGAACAAAATGAAATTTTCTCCATAATCTTCCATGCATGCATTCTCTCTCCTTCTTACTCTGTGACCTTGTGCAAATGATCCACACAGTATAGTGCCAGCTAGAATGAAGCCAGAGGTCCATGTAAGTGAACCTACTCTCATGTTTTTATCTACATTCCCATATCAGAAAGGTTTCAGGGATGTTATTTGGCTGAAGTGTGTGATGTTGGGGAGAGGCGGTTAATCTCTCTTACCATTTTCGCAGCTTGCTCAAAAGCTACCCAATGAGTAGACAGACAGATAGATCACCTGCAGTTCTCCTACTCTATGGCTTAATAATTACAGTTTGGAGTAGCTTTGATCATTATTTAAATCAAGGATATGTTGAAGGCAGCCTGCCCTAAACTGGAGCCCTTCAGATATTTTGGATTACAACTCTCCGCATTCCTGACGAATAGGGCTAAAGTGGTGGAGCTAATGAGAGTGGAAGTCTAAAACATCAGGAGGTCACCTAGCCAGGGGAAGACTAGTGTAGCAAGGAAAGGGCTTAACTTTAAATTTGGCACTCTTGCAGCAGCTTTTAAGCAAAGAAAAACACATTGCGGGATCAAGGCAATGGATTTTTCATATCACATCTATCTTGTGCTTTTGAACACAAAAGGAATTTTACCGTGG